CTCAGAACTCCACAGGCAGCAGTCTAGGCAGCCTCATGTTGTATGATCTGTAAGGCCTATACTGGAGGATCATGTTGAAGGACACCAAAAAATCAGAAAGTTTTTTAGAATAAGCAAGAATGCACAACACTTGGATATCTTTTAATTATTTCAAGAGAAGAAAGAGCAGTAGTTAGTCCCTCAGCCTGCCCGCCTCCCAAATATGAAACTGATGTGGAAATTGGCTATTTAGTTGAACTACCGGTAATAAAGGTATTGCCCTAATATGGATTATGAAGGAATCCCCTAGATCAGCCCCCCCCCCCCCCGCAATTTGGCTGGCTTAATCCACTTGGATGCTGGAAAATTTTATTCACTTTGGCTGTAAGGGGGGGAAATCCAATTTTTACATTCCCTGTTCTCAGTGGTGCAATTCTAGATAAAGATTTCTGATCCCTGGACTCCTCACATCAGTCAACAGAATGAAATGGTGGTGATAATGAATGATTCTTTTTCTTAAAGGAGTTTTTTAAAAAACCTAGAGATTAAAACACCTCATATTACAAGGGTGCATAAGTGTCATGAACCAGTCATTATTACAAATATTCACATATTGGTTAAAAAAAAGTAAGAAAAAAATGATGGAAAGATGAGTCAGAGGCTGATCTCAGTGTGAAGAATGTAGAGGAATATAGAAGAAAATGTGTAGTGTGGGAAGAGAATGTTAAAATAGGAAAATAACCACAGCTGGTCAAATCTAAAGTGAAGCTGTAGAAACTAAAAGTATCATCTCTGGCTGTCTTGTGGCCACAGTATCTTATCATTGCCTAGAACAGTTTTAAAACCATGTGCCTCTTGAATCACCACCCTTTGCTGTTTTCTCTCTTTAAAATACTAATGGTGTTACCCTTTGTGAAAGATTTTTAAACACCCAAATTATGTAGTGTTTTAAAAGTTTATCCAATCTCAGAAGTTCAGAATAGGTGACAGTCTTTTAAAAAAGAAAAACAATAATAATTAAATTCAAACTAAAACACATAACAAACATTGCATATTATGCTTTCAAAAAGCTTCTGACTTTTTAAGGGAAATGTTGGGTGGTTTCTCAGAATTTCTATGCATATTTGTGGCCTGAATTTTGCGTGTGAGTGGCAAACTTCGAGAGCCTGTCCTCAGCCAATTTCATATATGTGTGTGAATGAACTCTCTTGTTGGAATCTAGGTAGCCCTGAGAAGTGACTCATTTTTTAAAAAGGGAGGGAGAAAAGGATTTGGTTAATTGACTGCTCAAATACTGTCAAATAATGGTCAAGTATCATTAAGTTTAATACTTATGGGAGTTACCAAAAACAACAACACCCTAATCAGCTGGTATTGTGAAACAAAGAGGTTCAACTTTAAATAAAATGTAAATATTTGTTAATTTGATTATGTTTTATATTGCCCTTGTTCAAAGGGGTTCATGGTGGTTAACATAGTTCCTTCTACCATATTGTTTTCACAATAATCATGTAAGATAGGTTAGGCTGAAAGACAAGGCTAGCATCCCCCATTGAGCCTCATGACTGAATGAGGATTCTCCCTGGTCCTAGTGCAACACTCTAGCCAATAGGCAGTGGATTTCGCCTCTAATTATTCCTTGTTTTGGACTATCCTGAGGTTATAGATGGTAGCCAATGAGAATAGCTTCACAATGCTGGTTTTCCCTGACTGCTGCAAGGATAGAGACCAGCCAAATATTTGGTCACATAAAAGGCAGTCAATTAATCTGGGGCTTGGCATGATGGAAGCTGTCAGATTTGGAAGCAGTGGCATTGTGGCACAGCTGAGGGGGAGCAAATCAGTGGATTATACAATCTTAGTTTAGTGATATTTTTCCTCTGCCCCAGATAAACTTGGATTGTGACACAGGTTGGCTAGATCCAGCTCAGTAGGTATCAAAACTGCATTAAGGGCATGGGCAGCCATACTGGAATCAGACACAACCTCCTCAGAATACCTGGAGCTACATCACTGAATGATCTTGACCTAATATAATAGCACATGCAAGCAGGCACCCTGGAAATTGTGTAGGATAGTAAAGCTCAGTGGGAGTTGGCACAGTGTCAGAAAGAAGATTCTAATTTGCCTAATTATTGCAAGAATAAGGCTGAATTCGAGGCAGGAGGTTGTTGTGATTTAATCTATATGGAACATATGGAATAATATTTGCAAAATCTGCCAAAACAGCCTAATTAGCCTCTAATGGGTTTTCTTTCCTTGGTCCTATACCAATCCTAACCCTATGGCCACATCACAAATGACAAATTTATTTCACCAATATTACTTCCATGCCAGATTGAGTCCTCAGGCTGCTGCTGATCTGCATTCTAAAGGTTCAGTTTGTGTTGTGTTGCTTTTATTTGAATGCCATAAAAAGTTGCAAAATGTTCATTTGAATACCTTGCACAGACTGCACATACCTTTATCATTAAATACTCGATTTTCTTCTGCGCAATATGAAGGGGCAACTGGGTAACATTGCAAAATCAAAACAGGAAAGAGATGTGCAGCCTTAATTGATATATGTTTACTCAGAAGTAAATTCCACTGAATTAAATGGGATTATAGGATTACAGTAAGGGGTTATAGGATTGTGGTATAAGGAAATGCATTTGAGGCATATCATTCCAGGAGACAATACTAGGACTGATAGTTAAAAGAGAGATGTCTATTGACTAAAAAGAAATAGGTTATTGAATTGTTTACAGAATATCAATACAAAGAAGGAGATGCACAAGGTGGTTTCCAGGCAGTAATAAGATCTGCATTATGAAGGCTTTGGTTCTGTGAATGTTAGAGAGCTAGCCCCACTGAACACAATGATATGCATTTTTTTTAGTAAACGTGTGTAGGATTGCACAGTAATGCAGAAGTAGAAACAAAATGCAAGTTGATAAGCCAAATGCTCATGGTGTATTTTAGGCTGAAACAGCCGATACAGGACTGAACCTGACTCCAGGGTCGCAGCTGTGGAATTCCGGTTCCAAGAGCATCATAAGCAACTCCTGCAAACTCCTAGTCAGCCCCTGGGCTAACAGTTGTGCCTTTGTCTTCATTGCATATGTATCTCTCGAGTGGGATATTGAATGTGATGAACCAAGATTGCTCTAGGCAAATTATATAACATATACTAGCAAGCTACCGTAGCCTGTCCTTTCACTTTATGTGCAAGTAGGTTGCTAAATTGTTCACCAAGGAAATACCAAATGTTTTTTTAAATAAGGAGTTTTGTGTACAGGTTGGCTCAAGAGCCTCACAGTCCGTTATTTCAAAACCAGTTAAGTGGATCAAGAATGCAAGTGTTTTTGAAATCTCCTCCTGAAGCTACAGGGAAAATAGCATTTTTTGTTCCTCTCCCACCCCCTCCACTCACTCTCACTCTCTCTTTATTTGCAAACTAATTTCTAGATTTCTAGAATATGGATTCCAGCGTTTCCCTGAAAAAGCCTAAGCTCTCTAAACCTCTTCCAAAAGTCACTCATCATTTCACAGCAACCTTGTTGTGTGCTGTTGCCCCTCACTCAAGAGTGTATGGATCAGTGTGGTCTCCCTAAAAGTATGGGTAACCCCCTGCTGCTCCATGATCTATTATTTGCAAGTCACTCTAGTGCAGAGATGGGGAACTTGTGGTCCTCCAGTTCTTGCTAGACTACTCATCCATATGCTGTTCTGGCTGGGAGTTGGTGTTCAACAGCACTTGGAGGGCCAAACATTCCTCATCCCTGCTCTAGTAAAGGTAAAGGGACCCCTGACCATTAGGTCCAGTCGTGACCGACTCTGGGGTTGCGGAGCTCATCTTGCTTTATTGGCCGAGGGAGCTGGCGTACAGCTTCCGGGTCATGTGGCCAGCATGACTAAGCCGCTTCTGGCGAATCAGAGCAGCGCACGGAAACGCCGTTTACCTTCCCGCCAGAGCGGTACCTATTTATCTACTTGCACTTTGACGTGCTTTCGAACTGCTAGGTTGGCAGGAGCAGGGACCGAGCAACGGGAGCTCACCCCGTCATGGGGATTCAAACCGCCGACCTTCTGATCGGCAAGTCCTAGGCTCTGTGGTTTAACCCACAGCGCCACCCACGTCCCTCCATCCCTGCTCTAGTGCAATGCTAAATACAATTTACACTAATGGTTCTGTCCGGTTGTGACTTAAGTAGCTTTGTATCCTTGTAGCCCATCTAGCCCTAGCATCTTGTTCTCACAGTGGCCAGCCAGATACCTATGGGAAACCCATGCCTAGTAGCTGTTATTCATAGAATCATAGAATCATAGAGTTGGAAGAGACCACAAGGGCCATCGAGTCCAACCCCCTGCCAAGCAGGAAACACCATCAGAGCACTCCTGACATATGGTTGTCAAGCCTCTGCTTAAAGACCTCCAAAGAAGGAGACTCCACCACACTCCTTGGCAGCAAATTCCACTGTCGAACAGCTCTTACTGTCAGGAAGTTCTTCCTAATGTTTAGGTGGAATCTTCTTTCTTGTAGTTTGGATCCATTGCTCCATGTCCGCTTCTCTGGAGCAGCAGAAAACAACCTTTCTCCCTCCTCTATGTGACATCCTTTTATATATTTGAACATGGCTATCATATCACCCCTTAACCTCCTCTTCTCCAGGCTAAACATGCCCAGCTCCCTTAGCCGTTCCTCATAAGGCATCGTTTCCAGGCCTTTGACCATTTTTGGTTGCCCTCCTCTGGACAACCAATCTCTGGACAATCAGAGGCATACTGCCTCCAACAGTGGAGGCAGCACAGCCATTATGGCCAGTAGCCAGTTTCTGGCAGACGCCTTCTGTTTGAGACGATTGCAGGACAGGCTGAAACAAATTTTATCCCACCGTGCAGATGCTGCAGTGGGGAAAGAAACTAGTGCTATACAACTGTTCAAGGCTTGGAAGCCTTACAGGAGTGAGGATGGGAGAGACTAACAATTCTAGTGACATGCCTTGATAGATCTGGACAGGGTGAAGCAATGCATGAAGGCATATAGCCCAGCTGGTTAAAGCATGGTACTGTTAATGCCAAGGTTGCAGGTTTGATCCCCGTATGGGACAACCGCATATTCTTGCATTGCAGGAGGTTGGACTGGATGATCCTCAGGGACCCTTCCAACTCTACATACAGTTCTATTATCTTTCTAAGAACTGGTATCTGGTTGGTGCAGCAAGTGCTGTTGCTAGTGAGGAGGAAGGTACCATTTGAATTTGACTTGGATGGGGGGAAATAGGGAACAAAAATTTGCTTTTTAATTCTCTTACCAAAGGAAGCAGCAGAGAGCTCATGCTGTGATTATTTAAAGTAGGGATGGGGAACCTGTACTCCCCTAAATATTGTTGAACTTGATATCCTGTCAGCAACATGCAACATGGCCAATGGACAGGGGTGACGAGAGTTGAGGCCAAGTAACATCTAGAGGGCAACAGGGGACACACACACACACACACACACACACACACACACACACTTTACAACTTTATCAGTGAACAAGGATTTAAGCCTAAGTCTGCCTGGTCCAAATCTGATGCATCCTCCACATTTACCTAATGGAATGTCATGTTATGTTATTTGTGAAAAAATAGAACAGAAAACTGTCAGAAAAGGTATCTGGGCAGTATTGTTCCTAAAAGGACTACTCTGCTTTGCTACCTGGCGTAACCATAGTTGTAAGAAATAATTCAGCCATTTTGAGCAATAATAATATTGATAAAAATAATTTATACCCCACCCTTTCCGGTTTAAAAACTGAGCTCAGGGTGGCTAACAGCAAATATAAAACATTGATTAAAATGTGACTTAAAAACAGCATAAAATACAACATAAATGCAGTATCAATGTCAATAAAATTCAAAAATTCAGGGTAATTTTTTTTGGGGGGGCAGTCAGTAAACATCAAATGATCACCAGGGCTAACTGGCCAAGTTGGTCCTACTAGGGCCAGCAAGGAGACCAGGGAAGAGTTTAAATGTGGAGTCTCAAAAGGGTTTCTTCATAAAAAAGGAAAGGGGAAAGGGAATGGAGGATCAGGCTAATTCAAGCAGCATGTTTCTCTTCATATAAATTGTAACTGAAGGCAATTTCATATTATGTTCTTATACATGCTGAGAAACTGAAACACACTTCAGATGTAATTTGACCCAAAGTGCACAAAGAGATAGAATAGCATCAGTTGCCTCTCTTGGCAGAGTCCATTCCTACCTCCTCAAGTGTGAGCAGCAAGCATTTCCTTCCATGGAAACAAAGTGTTGTCACAAGTTTCACCCCCAGCTTCATATCCTTATTTATTTATTTTGTTTAAAGGAGAACGAGAGTGATGTAATTGTTAAAGGGTAAGACATTGACCCGTGAGACCAGGGTCCACATTCCCATTCAGCCACGAAGCTCACTGGGGGATTGGGGGCCGGTCACCAGCTCCCAGCGTAACCTACCCCATAGGGTTGTTGTGAAGATAAATAAGGAAAGAGGGAGTGCCATGTTCTCCACCTTGGGTTCCTGGGAGGAAAAGTGGGATACGAATGTAATAAATAAGTAAGAGTGTTTCTGAACCACATTGGGTTGTATTCAATGTAGTGCTAAGGTGAATGCTTTGTCATTACAAGGATTTCTCCTGGTGCAACAGAATGTTCTCCCCTTCTCCTCCCCACACGCCCCTAAATTGTTTCTAGGTTTCCCCCCAACCCTCTCTAGCAAATTTGGGGATGGTGCAGGCACACATGGGGAGAGAAGAGAGGGGGAAATCCCTTTGCGCTGGGGCAGAAAGTTAGTTGTCCTTAATATAAAAAAAATTCTAAGAGGTGTCCAAGAATACAACATGAAAACAATAACATATTTATCTTAAAAACAAATGTGCAACATAAACCCAGTAACATTATAATTATGCATTAGATTATTCTTTTTTAAAAACAACAACAACAATGTACTGCTGTATTCAGTGTCCTCCCAGGAGCAGGTTCTCATGCAGTGCAAGGCCCTGCAGTAGCAAAGAGCGGCAGAAAAGTATTCTGCATCTTGCCCTTTGGATTTTAGCCCTCAGTTTGAGGGGTTTGCTTTGTTTTTTGTTTTTAATCTTCAGAGAAACCACTTTAATGAAAACTAAGAAAATGGATTGCATTAGGTTTGATGAAGAGACAGGTTGCCTGTACCTGTTTTAATTATGAAAAAGGTGTGTTGGCCCAGGGACATATTGAATTTGAAGGGGGAGATAGATGGTGGCTAAGGCTGGCATTAGTGTGCAGTGCTCTTCTGTACCTGCCATGCCTACTAGGAAGCATTTTTCAAAGTGTGTGTAGAATGTCAAAGACAAATTTCTACCAGGTGGATACGCTAAGTATGTGTCCCTGTAAGGATGCCCTCCTAATAATCTCTTAAATCTTCTGGTTTGATGTTTTGCTACAAAGAACCATATTATATTGCTTTCAGCAGCACTGGTGCATTGTACTGGAAGTTTAAGTCACCTCTTCAGAGATATCACCCTAGTGTTTTGTTTAAGGGGCTTCAGTGACAGTGGAATGATTTCAAAGAGTGAAATGCTAAACTGGCAAAAACAAAGGATGCTTTTCTATTAGTTAATGCTTATATAACTTTGAATTATTTATATACTAAGATGAAAAAGAACGTTTATTTACATGGTGCAGGATTGCAGTGTATGAGCACAATTTAGCCCTTAATTAGGAAGCTAAACAATAAAAATCAGTTTTGTTTTTGTTATTGAATTGACTCCATATAAAGAGGACACAAACCAAGTAGAGTTTGGATTTTACATTGGCCTCAAAACTGCCTGCCACTCAGGTGTTCTTTTTCAAAAGAGAAAGGAAAAAAATAAAATAAAACCAACCTGCTTTACTTTAGCAGCCTTCAAATCTCAGGCTTTCCCAACACTTGGAGTACCTCCTTTTATATATTCAGGGCCATATGAGATTTCTTTTTGTGTTATATATTTGTTTAATAATGCGAATCATAAATGCCTGTGTAATGCAGAATATGGTTTAGTAGCTTTTAATTTTTGACCATTTTTCTTTATTATTTGTTCTGTTTGTCAAAGGCAGCTTTAGTATGAAAAAAACCCCTCTATTAGAAACGCAAGATTTACCTTCAAACCTAATAGCTTTTTGAAACTGATTTAGATTTCTGTGTTTTAATGAACCGTTAACTTGAAAAGTATCTGAATAATGGATATTCCTTAAAAGAAAATGTATTTGTTTTGAGGACTGATGTCTTGGTATATTTTAAAGCCGGAAGCAATTTAATGCAATGAAAATTCAGGGAGCCTTCCTTACTCAACAATAAAACAATTCTATATAGAATTTCAGAAAAGATATGCAAAACTACATGTTTGATTAAGCTGTTGCATTTAACTTTCCACCCTTTGCTTAGGTCATGCCTCATGTTGGCCCGTAATGTGTCCTATGTCATATAATTTATGAACTGAAAATACAGTACCTAACCCCAACCCCCCCTTTAAAATTGGACTTATAAAGCAAGGGTGGTTTCCAGTATGCTTCCAGTCTTTATTTATCACTTCTTTATCACTTATTTATCACTTAAAAGTATTAGGTATTAATTTATTCTTTAAAAGATAGCCATTACAGGTACCCTGACCTAATTAAAATTTTGTAAGTATTATTATCTGTGCCTGCTGTACAGGAAGTATCTGGTGCTCAGAGGCTCTGTTGACACCAAACAGAGTATTCATCTTCTTAAAATTATTTAAATAATTGACTTCCACATACAAATAAAAACCACAAGTGTTTTCTTGCAGTCAGTTTGAAGATTTGAAGGTGAGACAGAAAGCAGGGGGCAAGTTAGCAGATGGGCAGCCTGAAAGCCTAATCTATGCATGAACAACAAGTTTCTTAGGCTGAGCTGCCTAGGACAAGGCAGAATGGTTTGGGCCCCTTTTGTCACCTGACTGCTGCTGAGCTAGTAGCTGCAACACCCCTTTCTGGCCATGCATGATGGTGGCACTGCAGAAGATGAGCAGGTAAGCATCTCTGTCCTCTGACCATCTACCATGGTCATGAGGGCAAAGGATATGATGCTTGTGTCTATCTGCTAGTCTTCCATTTGAGACCCTCTGACGCTGGTTCCTGTTTCACCATAACAAAATTTAAAATCATCAGGAAGGTTAGCATATGCACAACATTTCTATGTAGTGTGAAAACTGAGACTTTTGTGTTGTAGAGCTTGGAAAGCTGAAATGTCGTTAAATACTTTTCTGCCTGATTTTAGGGTATTTTACAAAGAAAAGTGTGCATTTTCTTTTCCTGTAGGTTATCAACGCTGCTTTAGCTCTTGCGGCCAAACCCAAAAGCCAGGTGGTGAGAAACAACATGGAAATGTATAAAAACACATGGGAGAACCACATACATGTGCTCACTGAAGCTGTGGATGACATTACAAGCATTGATGACTTTCTTGCTGTATCAGGTGTGCTGCTTTTGATTTCATCTTTTCCCGTTGAGATACCTTCCCCTCTCCCTCTTTTTTTTTTTTTAATGATTATCTGAGAAACGACACAATCCCTTAGGAAGCTGCATTATATCATCCAGCCTCCAGTATCTAGCCAGGTGTGAAATTAGTGTGAGGGAAAGTGAATATGAAGACAGAGGAATGCAATTGCTGCCAGTCCCTGTAGGAGTTTGCAAAAGACAGCAGAGGCTCGTTGCTCCCTTCACCTCATCCTCGGCTACAGCAAAAACACTGTACAGCTTGAAGCATGCAACCCACCAGTGGGATAGCCTTCAATGAAAATTAGTAGCATTTCTAGGCAGGCTTTGAAAGGTTCACATTTTACTCCTACTAAGATAAAAAGCTAATTAGTGGACCCAACTCACACTTGGGTTTTCTGGGGAAAGTAATTATAATTGTATGTGATTGAAAAGATGTTCTGAAATGCTTACTTGGCCATAAGGCACATCTAGCAGCAAAGGGGTGTAGCATGTTTCACAAACATCAATAGGAACTGCTGAAATAATATCTAAGAACAGCAAGGTTGAGAAGAAACCATTAATATTCAGGACAAAGTCAGGGAGTCAAGACACTCCAGCCAATTTGGGAA